GATAATAATTAAAAAAATATTTCAATTATAGTATTAATATAATATTACAATAACATTATAACATAATGAATAGACTGACAAGAAATTATATATAAAATTTTAATAAGGAATAAGTTGTAACATAACCTCCATGTTTAAATCATGTACAAAATAATACAACAAATATTACTTACCATAAGAGAAAAGGACAAGTCCGAAAAAGCATGCAGTCAGAATAATTACTGAACTGATAATAGCCATCCTAATAATTCCAATAAGATCTTTAAATTGTAGGCATTACGAGGAGCTCCTAAAGCGTCGTTCGTCAATCTTTATTCATGACGAACGATCGATCCACTCCTCGTACACTTCATAGAAATTTCATCTGTTGAATAAGATCTATGTTCAGCTTATCGTAATGTAAAATAGAAACTTATACTCCATTGTTTGAAGAAACTGTTAACTAAGCAGACGCTTCCTTAGAAGCCAGCGGTTCCCATAACCAATCATCACTATCTTTCACATTTCCAACTGACAATGAAGTTTAACCGAATATGACGTCACGGAAAACGAATATACATATAAACTTGCATGTATGTACTATATATTAGTTGGAAATAAAAACAATAGAGTTCTAACTGGTAATATAAAATTCACTATCTAATTCACAAAGTATTATACAGGGTGTCCCATAACTCCTCGAACCCGGAATTGGGGGGTAGCTGGGGTGACTCTGAACAACTTTTTCCGTTTCCAAAATGTAGTTTGAAGATTCGTTTTTGAATTATTAACGAAAAACACTGGCCAATCAGAGTGCGCGTAAAGCCCGCGCTCAGGGACGAGTGAACAGAGATTCACCCGCGCGCTAACGTGAACGACGCGTACGCATAACTTTTCGGTTATCAATCGCTGTCAAAAAATTTGACTTTGCACCGCTATTTTTATAAGGCTTAGAGAAATGGTTTTTTGCCGTCATTCCGACGTTTGTATAAATTTTTGAAAAAACTGCAATTAGTCGGAATCGCGAAGAAAATAGCGGTTGTTTTTACAACTTTTTTATCTGAGCTCGCAATGAAAATTTAAAAAATACGTTTTGTAGATCTATGTCAATTATACACACGCTGAAAATTTCATCAAAATCGGTTAATGTTGTTATGAGCTACAAACGGTTAAAGATTGTGAAAATCGCACTATGAACTCATATGATCGGCTCTCGGCAAACGTCGCGCGGCCCGCGGGGAAAGTGAAGAAAAAACAGAAGACGTCGCGGCGTTCAACGTGTATTGTTGTCGATGTCGATGTTTATTGTTTCTATCGTTTGGCGAGGGCCGATCATATGAGTTCACCGACCCGGCTGTAACATCAGGTGTTTCGGATTGCCTAAAAGGGTCAGGACTGACACACTGACCCACTTCCGTCGAAGCAGATTAATTCGTGGGATAACACCCCATTTCCGGGTGTTCGAGGAGTTACGGGACACCCTGTATATTGTTGCGTGGATTCTTGGAGAATTTGAGGGAATGTCGCTCGTGGAACGCTAAAGCGCTCTGCTTGTGATCGTTTAGTAAATTTAATGAATCAGAAATTGTAACGTTGAATCTTTTACAGAACAATAAATAACTTGGTAAGAATAAGGATGAACGAAATGTTTTAACTATTTCTTTTGAATCTTCAAGCGTCGTCGATATTCATTATTCAATGTTAACATGTTTTTATTAAATAATAATCTCCAATTAAATTAAAGATTCTATATAAGATTATTTGAGGATAAATTTGATTGGTATTCCGCATTTGTTTATTAATACATATTTCCTTTAAAGTGAGTGTTTTACACCTCAGCAGTATTTCTGTACGTAGCGACGACGATAAACATTTATCTAAACGAGCAATTGCAAATAGTAATCAATAAAATTTTACAGTAGATTATATGCACATGTTATCGAGTTCTTTTGTTTATTGGTTCGGCTACACCTCTGCACAATTTGAATTCGGCACGTTTCAGCATTCACACTACAGGGCGCCACATGAGCCACATAACAATATAATAGTAGGATTACTATCAGTATAATAGTTTAAGAATATGCCAGAAACACTTTAATATTATATAAATTCGTACAAATGTCACAGAATTTTACAAAGTATTCATACTTTGTACAATTATTGGTAATACCTAATTGTATATTGAAATCTTTAGTATCCTCCCAAATATATTATTGAATATTCTTTCTTAATAGTTACAGTTTCTTATTAATGATGCATTAATAATAAAAAAAAAAAGTTTATGAC